CCTTTGTATGACGTGTTGTCATCAATATCCTTTGTATGACGTGTTGTCATCAATATCCTTTGTATGACGTGTTGTCATCAATATCCTTTGTATGACGTGTTGTCATCAATATCCTTTTTATGACGTGTTGTCATCAATAACCTTTGCATGATATGTTGTCATCAATATCCTTTGTATGATGTGGTGTCATCAATATCCTTTGTATGACGTGTTGTCATCAATATCCTTTGTATGATGTGTTGTCATCAATATCCTTTGTATGACGTGTTGTCATCAATATCCTTTGTATGACGTGTTGTCATCAATATCCTTTGTATGACGTGTTGTCATCAATANTATTTCGTAATCTGAGGGCCAAATTTTTTTTTTTTGAGGGTGTAAATAAATATAATATTCATAAAATATTGTTTTACTACGATATATCAGGTGTAAGATCACACGACGTTACATGATGTGTGGTATGCGTACAATGCACGAACGATGTACGTGTGCACGATGTGCAAATGATAGAAAACTCGGCGATTAAAGCTTCACCTGAGCGCACGACGGATGAATGTAGGCGATAGCAATCGTGGTTGATGTAAATAGAAGAATGGCTTAACGATAAATACGATTTCGTTTCCAGCTTTTCCTAACAACCTTAATCATCGAAATGTGTACAACACACATCGGACACGGTCATACACACATTTGTATACCGACAAACATAGCCGAACGTCCCCCCTCCCCCCACCAGGGCAGTCAGAGGTATGAAAATGCCAGGTACCGCACACGGAAAAAGTATTAACGAGGTCCGGCTGTGTTTATATAACATTTCTACAGCACCATCGATCAACTCAATGAGTCATACAGCACAACCGATCAACTAAATGAGTCATACAGCACCACCGAACAACTCAATGAGTCACACAGCACCACCGAACAACTCAATACATCATACAGCACCACCGATCAACTCAATGAGTCATACAGCACCACCGATCATCTCAATAAGTCACACAGCACCACCGAACAACTCAATACATCATACAGCACCACCGATCAACAAAATAAGTCATACAGCACCACCGAACAACTCACTACCTCATACAGCACCACCGATCAACTCAATACCTTATACAGCACCACCGATCAACTCAATGAGTCATACAGCACCAACGATCAACTCAATACCTCATACAGCACCACCGATCAACTCAATGAGTCATACAGCACCACCGATCATCTCAATAAGTCACTACAGCACCACCGATCAACTCAATACCTCATACAGCACCACCGATCAACTCAATGAGTCATACAGGACCACAGTACAACTCAATGAGTCACACAGCACCACCGATCAACTCAATGAGTCATACAGGACCACCGATCAACTCAATAAGTCATGCAGCACCACCGGTCAACTCAATGAGTCATACAGTACCACCGAACAACTCAATGAGTCACACAGCACCACCGATCAACTCAATAAGTCATACAGGACCACCAAACAACTCAATATCTCATACATCACCACCGATCAACTCAATGAGTCATACAACTTCACCGAACGACTCAATACATCATACAGCACCACCGATCAACTCAATAAGTCGTCATACAGCACCAACGATCAACTCAAGATCTCATACAGCACCACCGATCAACTCAATGAGTCATACAGCACCACCAATCATCTCAAAGAGTCACACAGCACCACCGGTCAACTCAATGAGTCACACAGCACCACCGATCGACTCAATAATCATACAGACCACCGATCAACTCAATAAGTCGTCATACAGCACCACCGAACAACTCAATACCTTATACAGCACCAACGATCAACTCAATGAGTCACACAGCACCAATGATCAACTACATGACTCATACAGCTTCACCGAACGACTCAATACATCATACAGCACCACCGATCAACTCAATAAGTCGTCATACAGCACCACCGAACAACTCAATACCTTATACAGCACCACCGAACAACTCAATGAGTCATACAGCACCACCGATCATCTCAAAGAGTCACACAGCACCACCGGTCAACTCAATGAGTCACACAGCACCACCGATCAACTCAATATCTCATACAGTAACACCGATCAACACAATGAGTCATACAGCACCACCGATTAACTCCATGAGTCATACAGCTCTACCGAACGACTCAATACATCATACAGCACCACCAATCAACTCAATAACCCATACAGCACCACCGATCAACTCAATAAGTAAAATAGCATCACCAATCAACTCAATACCTCATACAGCACCTACAATCAACTCAATGAGTCATACAGAAGCACCGTACAACTCAATGAGTCACACAGCACCACCAAAAACTCAATGAGTCACACAGCAACACCGAACAACTCAATATATCATACAGCACCAGCGATCGACTTAATAAGTCATACAGCACCACCGAACAACTCAATACCTCATACAGAACCACTGATCAACTCAATAAGTCGTCATACAGCACCACCGATCAACTCCATATCTCATACAGCACCACCGATCAACTCAATGAGTCATACAGGACCACCTATCAACTCAATGTCACACAGCACCACCGAACAACTCAATACCTCATACAGAACCACTGATCAACTCAATAAGTCGTTTATACAGCACCACCGATCAACTCCATATCTCATACAGCACCACCGTTCAACTCAATGAGTCATACAGGACCACCGAACAACCCAATGAGTCATACAGGACCACCGAACAACTCAATGAGTCACACAGCACCACTAATCAACTCAATGAGTCACACAGCACCACCGAATAATTTAATACCTCATACAGCACCACCGAAAAACTCAATGAGTCATACAGCACCACCGATCAACTCAATAAGTCGTCATATAGCACCACCGATCAACTCAATATCTCATACAGCACCACCGATCAGTTCAATGAGTCATACAGGACCACCGATCAACTCAATACCTCATACAGCACCACCGAACAACTCAATGAGTCATACAGCACCACCGAACAACTCAACAAGTCATACAGCACCACTGATCATCTCAATGAGTCATACAGCACCACCAAACAACCCAATACATCATACAGCACCACAAATCAACTCAATACCTCATACAGCACCAGCAATCATCTCAATGAGTCATACAGCACCACCGAACAACTCAATGAGTCATACAGCACCGCCGAACAACTCAACAAGTCATACAGCACCACTTATCATCTCAATGAGTCATACAGCACCACCAAACAACCCAATACATCATACAGCACCAGCAATCATTTCAATGAGTCATACAGCACCACCGATCAACTCAATAAGTCATACAGCACCACCGAACAACTCAATGAGTCACACAGCACCACCGATCAACTCAATACCTCATACAGCACCACCGAACAACTCAATAAGTCATACAACACCACCAATCAACTCAATACCTCATACAGCACCAGCAATCATTTCAATGAGTCATACAGCACCACCGATCAACTCAATAAGTCATACAGCACCACCGAACAACTCAATGAGTCACACAGCACCACCGATCAACTCAATACCTCATACAGCACCACCGAACAACTCAATAAGTCATACAACACCACCAATCAACTCAATACCTCATACAGCACCAGCAATCATTTCAATGAGTCATACAGCACCACCGATCAACTCAATAAGTCATACAGCACCACCGAACAACTCAATGAGTCACACAGCACCACCGATCAACTCAATACCTCATACAGCACCACCGAACAACTCAATAAGTCATACAACACCACCAATCAACNACCGATCAACTCAATAAGTCGTCATACAGCACCACCGAACAACTCAATACCTCATACAGCACCACCGATCAACTCCATGACTCATACAGCTTCACCGAACGACTCAATACATCATACAGCACCACCGATCAACTCAATAAGTCGTCATACAGCACCACCGAACAACTCAATTCCCCATACAGCACCACCGATCAACTCAATGACTCATTCAGCTGCACCGAACAACTCAATACCTCATACAGCACCACCGAACAACTCAATACCTCATACAGTACAACTCAATGAGTCACACAGCACCACCGATCAACTCAATGAGTCATACAGGACCACCGAACGACTCAATACATCATACAGCACCACCGATCAACTCAATAAGTCGTCATACAGCACCACCAAACAACTCAATACCTTATACAGCACCACCGATCAACTCAATGAGTCATACAGCACCACCGATCATCTAAAAGAGTCACACAGCACCACCGGTCAACTCAATGAGTCATACAGCACCACCGATCAACTCAATGAGTCATACAGCACCACCGATCAAATAAATAAGTCATACAGCACCACCGAACAACTCCATGCGACAGGCACAGGCCATTCAAACCTCCGATCACTCTTTTCAAAATGTTAATGATCCAATATTTACCTGGATAGTGAAGCCCATTATTGACAGTTAACAGTCTCTATAATACTGTGTAACACGCGTTGTAAAAATAGACATAATGCAAACTGTATTGATCAACAAGAGTACCGCGGGGCGGAACAATATACGCCCGTCGACTGCCATATAGTGTTATATACTTTCATTTTAAGAGTGATTAGCTGACATGCTATAAAAATGAAGGAGAAAATCTCCGGACAAAAATCAGTGTGTGACGGTTTGCGGGCCCGGCGCGTTGCGTTCTACTACGGTCTGACACGGCGCGCACGCGCGGTCTGGGAGGGAGTATATAAAAGCCAAAATCCCATGGCGCACTACGTTTCGTACACAAAATCTTCTTCATCATGGGAATTCGTGATGTTATCTCGTCGATTCGTCTGAGGATATAATGATTGCTTTTGCCTGGGAGGCCTTCTTGGGCACAAACGTGCTCCAAAGCTGTCCGGTGTCCACGTTTCATCTATCATAAAGAATTTTATGATAATAGTGCTATTTATGAACATTAATTTAACATTTCATCTCATTCATTATTTGCAAACTTTCGCCATTTAATTTCGTTCAGTAACAATTTCATACCTAAACTATTTAATTACATTTGTACCATTTAAGAAAACCTCTATGTGTAAATGTAGCTTCTTTGATTCATTGTCGTCAGATTAACTCATGTAATATTGGTGTCCATCTTATACATTATACCTTTCAAGTCAATTATGTTACGTAATGAGATTAACTGGTCTTACCAAGTATGACACTTAAGCCTCGGACAAAGGACAGGCTAATTGCCTTACCTGTTCGGGTACTCACCAGTCAGAATAGAGAGATAAGTGACAGCTGTCGATCAAATTAACTTTATTGTGTTAATTGTCAATGTATCACGGTTCTACATGTTTGGTAATCAGTAAGGAGCTAGGCATCGGACTGTACAGGTGTGTTTTTGGATACTCCAGAAATCACCCACCGACCTAGAGAAAGTTATTTTAATAAATTTATATTTGGACCATACAACATCTCCAGAACTTTTACTTTTCAAATTGTATAACAATACCCCACAAAAGTGTTGTTTTACATCCGTGGAAAACCTTGACAGAACGTGAAAAACGTGTCGGACATTCATCAGAACGTGAGGGACCCCATCAGAACGTGACGGGCCTGGAGGGAACGTACTGGCATCCGTGGTAGACCGCGGGCCGAACCGTACTGCGCCTTGGAGCCTCCGGGACTCAGCAGCAGCTTCCCCCCACGGCCCATCACGGATACCGTGACAGACCGTGGGAAAACTTGCCAAGACTTGAATTCAGAGAAAAAATGGCCAAAATCCCACGGCGCACTACGTTTCGGGCAAACGCGACTGCCGTGGCTGCCGGGAACATAATGTAAACGTGGCATAAACAAGGCCACACAGTGTCAGATGACATACGATGTACCAGGGGAAGTAACCTTGGGTGTCTACTGAGTAATCAGAGATACTTCAGTCGATTAAAACTTTTACAAAGATTTAACCTTTTCGTCGACTTATGTATTACAGTATAAAAATTCAGTTAAGAAACATACACAACAAACATTTCCTCTGATTAAATATTTTCATCGGTCAAATATATTTGAATTAGCGTATGTGGTTTATATATTAGTCAGAAATAGTTATTAGGGACAAAACACTATTTCCTTAAACATTAATTACTTAAAACATACATCTACATTGCTCTATTTAGTTATTTCGCTATCATTACGTCAGTTCGTAAAGTGTTTGAATCAGCAGTCAGTGTTTTCACGGATAGTTGACATCAAAATAAGGGTTACCTGATATGGCATTGTATGTTAGTGAAATGTCTGATCGGAAGGTGACGCAAAAACTCACTACAAGAAGTTCATCAAAACTGTTTTTTGCTTTGCCTGTCTCTCATACAATATTGTACGTCTCTTTCCCCCATTTCTGTCATTTCTAGTTCTTATAATTATCTGTTGTTGTTCTGTAGCATGTGTGTGTAAGAGTGAATGAATGTATATATGGGTGTAATGATGAAGTTGATGACAGGATGATGATGATGATGATGATGATGAATGGTTATAAGTATGATGAAGATGAAGATGATGATGATGAATGGTTATAAGTATGATGATGATGATGATGATGATGATGATGATGATGATGATGATGATGATTATGATGATGATGAATGATTATATGTATGATGAAGACGATGATGATGATGATGATGATGATGATGATGATGAATGGTTATAGGTATGATGAAGATGATGATGATGATGATGATGATGATGATGATGATGATGATGATGATGATGAATGGTTATAAG